TTTCCTAGAATCAGCCTATCATCTGTAACCCTATCTTTGATCAGTTCCCAGTTGAAGGAACTTTCAGAAATCTCTTTCTACCTCACATTAGGGGTTAATCTCCTGTGGTGGGTATGGTTCCAATATTGTTCCTACCTGGTTTCTGCTCCAGTGAATGCTGATCAGTCTGTATTTGGAGAAAATATTAAGGTGGGAAGGCGTTAACCTCACTTCATGGTTATTTGATCTTTTCTGGAGTGCTTTGCTAATATTGTATGGAAGAAAGTGCTGGGATGCTACCAGTGGTCTAGAAAGCTGTGTTGGTGCAGGTTTTAGCACATTGTTCTGACCCCAAAGTAGCCCTTTGACCTTAATATTGTCACCTGGGCACTGCTCAGAATCCATACCCTGTTATGGGATGTTCTTACTGGAGATAAGCAGAGACATCCCAAAAGCCTGGTCCGTGCTCCCTGCAGGAGTGAAGCAGGAATAGGTTGTCTTTGTAATTACAAGGCTGCCTGTCCCCCAGGGTCCTCCGTGATCAGGAACTTCCCATGATCTCCCTTACAAATGCAGTCTCCAACCCCAAGAAGGTGATGTTTATCAGGGTTTTGAAGTTACAGTTATTTACCTTGAGGACAATGTTTTAATCTTGCAGCTCACTGTCACATTCATAAGCCTGAGGCCTTGGAGCTCAACCCTTTAGCTGCTGTGTCTGAGTTTTTTGGCAACAGTTGGGTAGGTTATATAGATGCATCTGCTTTTTTTTTTTTTTTTTTTTTTTTTTTTTTTTTTTTTTCCCAACATAGATGTGAAAATATGAGTGGTGATGATAGTGATGAGAATTTCTCCCTCACAAGCTGTGAGAGGGAGAGAGGTGCAGATGTGATTGTCTGTTGCCACCAACTGCTTCCTGGCTTTGTCACATGCTAAGAATCTCCTGATGTTGCAACGAGAAGAAAACAAACTAATTTATTCTGCAGAACCTTTATGTAAAATCTAGAGGGAGTATTGGGAATGAATGAATTTGTTGGCTTTATTGTTCTGAAGAGCTGAGCTGTACTTCATACTCTGAGATACCTACAAGTATGCATGATGAATATGTAGCGGAAATGAAGGGTCACTCATGGGGAATGGGGACTGGAACTGAGGGGTGTCATTTGGGTTCTGTACACTACACTTTTTTTTTCTTTTCTTTTTTTTTTTTTAAAAAGTAGTTGTTTCCATTGGGAAATAAAAGTCCATTAATTTCACTGTGAGATATTCTGGGAGATATGCAAGAGGAAAAAAAGTCATGGGGAAAACTCGTCTACTACTTTTTCCTTTTTTCATCCAACATTTTATTCTCTCTCTCTCTTTTTTATGGTTTTTGTTTTTTTTTTTCCTTCTCTATTTCCCCATTTCTTTCCTTCTTCCCCCCCCCCCCCCCCCCCTTTTTATCAGACAGTTTGTTCATTTCCATTTATTTAATTTTCCATTTTCAAATCATTTCCGTTTCCAAATCCTTCCATGATTTTCCATTTCTTACCAAAGTTACTCTTCAGTTCTTTCACACCAGATCTTCTTTCAGGCTGTGGGCTCCTTTTCTCCCAACCCCAAAGTCCATCTCATTCTACTTTCTCTGTATCTTACTCTTACTAGTCCTTCATCTTTTGATTAAATTCCCTGTTCCATCCAATGCTTTTATTCATGCCCTCACTAAAATCCCTACAGTGTTCTTCTCCCCAGTTCTCCCATTTTTCATTTCTTCTCATCACTTCAAAGCAGTATGTCCCTTTCCTCTTGTCTTTGCATCCAGAAAAACAAACAAACTAACAAAAAAAACCAACAACTTGTAGGTGCAGATGTCAGTTGGCTTCTTGTCTGCATGCTTATTGCTACCTGCCTTGAGACTTTGCACCAAGGCTGAGAGTTTGGGACTTGAGCAGTACCCTGAGAGAGTCAGATAGGAGTAACCCATCCTACTTGTGGACCTCAGAATCAAACACCAAAGAAATTTTAGGCTTGCTTGAATTATATAGTTACTGTCAAGAACTTATCTATCTTTCTCATAAAATGTTTACTGTGAAGTAAGCTGAGTTCTGTGTCCAGCATTACTCAGCTGAAACAGGAATTCAGAAACTCCCTTACTGAGAAACTGCTCCCAAAGGGCTTTTAATAAGAGCAGTATGATAACTTTTGGAGGTTTAGTTCTAAGTGGATTATCATGCTGCTGAGACACAGGGAGAGGAGGGATGTACTTATTTTTTCACGTCTCATGAAGGCACAGAAGGGAGGCAAATATCTCATGATAACCACACCCCTTGTCATCCTCTATTAGTCACATCGTACACTTCCTGAACACAACACTTCTTTATAGTCCCCTGACATTCTGCACGTCTTACAAAAACAGTGACTAGTTATCATCCTCAGGGCTAACACCAACTCAAAATACAGTTCAGTGAGCCTTTACAAGAACCTCTAATTGTCTATGTACAATGTGCAAAGCTTCAGAAAGCCTGAATGTAGTCTTCCCAGAAAGGAAATTCAATTGAATAATGTATGATTGGTATGTTTTGACCTTAAGCTTCTGCCATATCCATCAAGAAAAGAGTTGTAAACTTTCTGCCATTTACTACAAAACCTCGAGGGCCAGAAGCTACAGCTCTGCCAACAGGCACTTGGGGAAAATCTGCAGGGTAGGATAAAGGTGGCCTTCCCATAACTGCTGCTTCTCCCATGCCTTGTGTTGAGCCCCCCAGGACAAGGACTTCTAGGTGGTGCATCAGGGGCTCTGAGGTAAAAGGGAAGTGGCCGACTGGATGAAAATTCCAGTCTTGTCTGCAAAGGAATATGGCAGCCTGTACGACTTTGAAGTAACTTTGATAACCAGGAGCTATTTCAGCTAATCCATCATGTCGTTTCTCTATTAAAGCCTTAAAAGATAGAGTGTTTCAAGGAACCAAAGAGAATTAGGTGCCGAAATCTCTTTGGTTTGCCTTGTGAGTTTAGTGGGTTTCCATAGCCATGATGGCCAAATGCTTCTTTGTCCTTGGGATTTGTATATCACTCATTTTTGCAGATAAAACAGCACTATATCATGATGCTGTTCTTTAATAAGTATATAAAAAGAATGTGTGACACTAATACTTCCAGTGTGAGCAGTATAATCTTCACACTTCATGCCTGGCCTGGAACACCAAATATGATTTTTTCTTCATTTTTATTCACTGCCACATTATGGATGGTGATTATGGATGACACATATTGAAACTGGGCTGGATTAGGTGCTCAGAGCACTATGGCTCTAGTCCTTTTTCATATAAATGCAGACAAAGGGACTGCAAAGGACTCAATTATTTTTTTTTTCTTCCTACTTTGGTGGGTTGAGTTAAAAATAGTAAGTTAGAACTGGGCAACTGTTACATATGAAAAACACAACTAAATGCAGTTGTGGTTTGAGACCTGAACAAAAACACTATGTCCACACATAAGCCAAATACCTTTTCCTGGAATATAGGATGCTTTCTTTTGTGTGTCAGGCTCTGACCACTGAGTCACTTCCTGTGGGTTTGCATTGTGTAGATTAGCAGGTGCAATTCTAAGCACGTATAGAAACTTCCTTTCTTACTGCTCTCACAAGGTTTATCCTCAGCTTCCTCTGAAGTTTAAACTTCTCTGCTTTCTTATCCACAGTACATCTCTCTTCATGTATGTTTGTCACTGCTATCTACCCAGGCTTTCTTCCTGATAGCTTCTTTCATTTCTTTCTTTCTTTTGGCCAGCTATCTTAGAAAAAATAGCCAAGCTACTCCATTGACTAAGAAAACTAACTTTATTCTGTGTTTTAACAAATATAGCCATGGCATCTGATATTCCTCTAGTATTACGTTGGCTGAGTAGCATTTTACAAAATAAGGAATACCGGTGGAAGAGGTTGTTAAAGACAGACCTGTCTCAGAACAACAGTGGTTCAGGATTCCTACTCCTTCAAAATCTCTTACTGAGATTTTGTGTACTGATTTTGTCTTACTGCTGTTTGTGTACACATATTGGCACTAGAGGAGCAATTCCAGCTGAAGCATTGAGGTTTTCATTAAAACATCTAAGCAAGTAAAACCCACTGTGAATTCACATACCCTATACCACTCTTGTTCTGTTCTTCTGCCTGCATGGGAATAACTACATTGGAATGTCACCTTAACTATCCCAGAATAGGTAGCACAATTTAACATTTGCGTGCAGGTGACCTCTCTGTCTTGTGTTTATTTACCTTATGAATAAATGCGGGTGTCTCTCATCTGGATTATTTTACAGAAAAGAAAAAAAAAAAGGAACATGTTTCTTTAAAGAAAAATTCATCCTGTATTCATTTCTTTTCATTGTTAAGTTCTGTATCTTAAACCTGGGCAGTTCTTTTTAAGTGTTTCTTGTACCTACTTTTCTTTTTATCTACTTCACACTGCTCTGGAGGGACTCCCCTATATTGTAAAAAATGGAGCTGGAAAAATGAACTTTTCCTTTTGAAGACATATTTTATTTTTAAGGAGTGATTTTCTTATACTCCGCCAGACAAATATGAGAACATAGTGATGAGTTTGCTGAACAACAGTATGCCAAAATGGGAGGTAGGAGCCTGTTATGAAGAATGGTGTTGCAATTGTGCTGATATTCTGGAACTACAGTATTTAAAAGTACAATCACAAGAGTAAATGGTTTCAAACTTTGCCAATGTAATGAGCACAGGGTAGAAGCTGAGAACAATTGTGCCTGTGTTCTTCGTGTTTTCCGGAGCTTGCCTCTGGCCAGGGATGGGTAAAGGATGGGAAGGACCTAGACTCAGAAGTGTGCTGAATGTTTGTTTGTTTTTTCAGAGGAAAAGGAGAAGTGATTGAGATGATGGTGCTTCACATCCCAGAGGGAGTTTCGCTTGACAGATAAGCACCCTGAGTCATGAGCTGAATACGTGCCTAAACGGTTTAGAGGTTGAAGGAAATCCTATCAAAGTTTGCTGTTGTGGTTGAACGTGCTGACTCAAAGCACTTACTACGTGAGCTACTGGGGAGAAAATGTGGCTGGTAGTAAGTTGTGCAGTGGGCCAGGTGGAAATCAGGAGGCAGAAATCATCCTTGACACAAAGGGGAAGCAATCTGGGTATGTGAAAATGCAAGCTGTTTATTTCAATGAAGAGGCTGGGTTTGGCTTTACTCCATGTAGTTATTTAAAGGCTATTGAGAAATGCAAATCATGATTTATTTTTACTACGCTGTGTGATGAGACTAGAACTTTAGAGGCAGAGAGACAAGTTTCTGGACTCCATCCATAAACTAGCTGAAATAATAATAAAAAAAAATAATCTCACAAGTGATACATTTTGTTTAAAATATGTGAAAAAAAAAGTGACCTATAAAAGACAAAAGCATTTAATGTTCCTGAGGGCTGTCTATAGAAGGAGATACACTTTGATCTGATGGACATACGACTGTCTTCCAGGGGCTTTAGACTGCTTTTCATTAATTGCATTTGTCCCAGTATAGGGTTTTTCATTTCTTCCTCTTATGTTTTCTCATGTAGGTAAGAGACATTTAATATGCTTATATTTTACTCTCAGTTACCACAGACAACTCAGTATTTTGTATTCTGGCTGTGAAAAGGGTTGGCACAATTTTTGAGAGACGGGATGGAAAGTTTTTTCAGGTTACTTATAGTGTAGGTTATTAATTATATCCTGGTCCATGGAGAAATGCTTTTAGTTTTATCATAAACCCTTTATCTGATAAGGCAAAAAGAATGAGAATTATCTTATGTATTAAAATGTTCTCTTAGTTAGAAGAGCTAAGACAAACATATTTGTAAGATCATTCTACTGTTTGATACCATTTCTTTCCTTTTTACTCCAACACATGTGAATGGTTGAGTGCAAACTTGAGAGAGTGTTAGAAAAACACAAATCATAGAATCACTTGGGTCAGTCATCTGGTCCAATCTCCTCCTTAAAGCAGGTCAACTGTAAATGGAAATACTTTAAACTTGCTGTCCTCTCATAATGCCTTCTATATTGACCCACCTGCCTTCATTACTGTTTAAAAGACCTTAAGCACTAATGAGACTACTCATTGAAGTGTGATTGACAGAAATATTCTTGCCTGAGCACAGCAGGAAATTGAAATGATGCGATGTCAGAAGCTGAAGAAGGCACGTGCTTGCACATAATGGGGGAATACAGGCACTTTACTTGCAGATATTCCCTTCAGGATTCTCACTCCTACTTTCTCTCTGCAAGGACAGACACACAGTTCTGAGTTTTAGTCCAACACTGCCTGTGAGAACAAACCATGTTTTTCACAGTACAAAAGCTGTTGGAGCTATCAGACCACCCCTGACTTGGCCTAGGAGCCTCCTCAACAACACAGGCCTGTAGGTACAAGGTTGCCTGCTTCTGTGGCCTTGCCATTACTTGCTTATATGTGGATATACCCATGTTTTCCAAGAAGAAAAGACAGGCATTAAACAGTTGGCATAAGCCTGTGTAGTTCTGTTGGAAGTAAACTCTGCCACATTATTACTGGCTGCACCAGTGATCCTATGTTCCTAACGCCTTTCCCAAAGAAGACTCCCCAGTGAAGGAGTGGAAGTTGCAGAGAGATATCTGTGAAATTGCCCATCCAAATTTCATGATCAGTATTGTTGACCTTCTTCCAAATTTGTGAGTTCTTATTAAGAATTAGAAAGCACCACTAATATTCAAGTTAGGGTTTCTAAAGTCAAGGGAGAAGGCAGAGGCTCTTTTGGCTTATTAATATGTGACCCTTAATCAGATCCTGGTCACCTAGATATTCTCATTAGGGGTGAACTAGGAATGCTTAAATAGATTAACAAGAGCATTTACTGTTCTCCAGTCACAGTGATCTCCTTCATTCTCTGGAAACGCCAGTAATGAGCAGTTCAGACGCTGTGTGGGGCAGCAAGACCACTCAGTAGAGACTGTAGGCACATTCAATTTAGCAGTGAGTTGGCAGCTGGCTGGCGCACACTGCAAAATATGCTGTATTTCTTTATCAAATCAACAATAAGTGTTCGTGTTTGTTCTGGTCTGTGTGCAAGAGCTCACGTATGCCTGCATACCTCATAACTCTGCCCAAGCAATTACATCCCATACTTCCCTTTTCTGTGTTGCAGTAGTAAGAGTTACAACATTACATAGCTATACAGAGAATAAGCCTATCAAAACACATACCAATATACAACATTTCCTTTCCCACTTTTTATTCTTTTGAAGAAAGCTCCAGCATTTCTTCTTTTCTTTACTCTTTTTTTTTTTTTTTTTTTTTTTTAATTGTCTTTCTAGCATCTTCTGTCTTTACAGTTATGCCTTTGCTCTCTGTCTGTATTCTGAAACTTGACTTTGAAATCTTCTCTCTCTTGTTGCTAGTCTAATAATGGTGGAGACTTACAAAGTCTTTTCTAAAAAAGGCAGAAGCAAGGGGTGGGCAAAAGCAAGGCTACCTGATGAGCCTGGTAGATGTTTTAGGGTCAGTACTGGAGTGCCCCAAAGTCATGTCGCATGGTTACTATCATGGGTCTTTGAATGCCAGAAATGGCATTTACCAATTCTGGTGATATTCTAATTTTAAATGGAAACTAGTATTTGTTTAGCTCCATCTCATTGTCCTTGCAATGCTACTGCATGTTTGTTGTGCTGTTTTTAAAAGTCAGTTGACATGTGATTTCTGTCCTCATCCACCTTCCTGTTCTAGCACGAAAGAGGTCTTCTCTCGGCAGTTGTTCTTGTTAGCAAAATGACTTTTCAAATTTGTCTGCTACTCTGTGGGAATTTTCTGTAACCCTATAATTATCCCTGTTTACGTGATGGAAGTTTTTTTGCATGTCCTATTTAGCATTTGCTAACTGCTGTTTGTGCTTGCCTCTCCCTGCTAACAATGGACTTTGGATTTTTTTTTTTTTTTTTTCTGTATGATTAGGACTTTATTTTTAACTCTTGAGTGGTTGGGCTGAACTACTTAGCAAGCACTGAATGTGATGTTTGAACAGTTCTTTGCAAGTCACCTCTTTAAGAGTCCAATTTCAAAGCATCAGGTAAAATCGACCTTAAGATTACAGGCCAGATTGAAATCTCAGGGCAATGCTATGTGATATGAAACCAGCCGGCAAAACTTTTCTCTCCATTTTATCTGTGCAAATGTTGGATTGGTTGACTGCTCCTTGCCCTAATCACGTCAAACTTGTTTGCAATTGGAGCTGCTGTTGCTACAACAGCACTGGATGCAGCTTCATTATTGCTGCGATGGCTGCACAGGAGTGCGTATTTTGCCCTGCCAACTGGTACGGGGTGTTTTTAACACCAAACTGGTGACTTTGGAGGGCAAGGTGACAGAAAGAGAAATTAAATTTTGCTGAAGTTTTCTGCTACAGTGTGAAGCAACCAAAGGGGTGAAATGTCTTAGAAGGACATTGGAGTGTTTGGGCAGGGTAATAATAAAAATCATCAGACCTGCATGTGCCCAAACATGGAAATTCATCTTAAATATGTTCTGTAGTGTGTTCTGGTTATTGTGATTAATTAACATTGAAAGGAAAAGGCTGAAATACAGTTGGTGAAAACAAGCAGGCAACTCACCTGGGGAGTAACCAAAGTGGTATTTTCTCTTTTCATATTTGAACACCAAGAAGAATTGATGTAGGTGTGAATAGCCTAGAAAGGGACTGTAAACCTGGCTCCAGCCAGCAGGAAACTTCAGCTGTGGAGACTGAAGTGAGGTTTGGGCTGCACTGGTTTGGTGCAGTAGCTGCAGCTGCACTAGGTCTGCTGCTTTCTCTTCTGGACTGTTGAATCCATGTCTATGTGAGGCCATTGTTGATTTCATTGTTGATTTCTGTTGCCTTGGGACATAGCTTTCACCTTGGATGGACAGGACTCAGGGAGATTTCAGTGGCTGGGAACAGCAGGGGTAGGGCTAGGTGGTGCTCTGTCAGTGACATTCATCCACATTGATATTAAAACAGTGCGGTTGGCCGGAGCAAGCCTTATCTAAACAGTACTTAACGAGCACGTACGCAGTTCAGAGGACTTTCACATGCTGCTGCAAGTTTTTTTATGAGCATGCTATAAGGAATGGTACTTGAAAAGATAAATTTCTCTAAAGTAAAGGAAGTTCCCCAAATGCTTTCTGAATCAGCATGGGAAAACTTTTGAGGGGGTTTTATGCACCCTTGAGCCACTTTCAGTACCTATTTGAGAAAGCACGTTTTCAGAGTTAGTTCCATTTAATCCTGTAGACCAGGCTACAAAGTGAACACACTTGTTTCTAGATCTTTGAATTAGGTGGTGCAATGACTCAGCACGAAAACCAGTCACAGGCAGCAAACATTCCTCCTCTGAGCTGTGTTTGTAGCAAGCAATCAAAATGAAGTGACACAAGCAGAGACAAGAAATGAATCAGCACCTTTCTACCTTTAGGCTGGGATTCCTCCTCCTCCTTCTTCATTCTTACTGCTTTTCTTTTCTGTGCAAGTATGTGATAGATTTAAGAGGAAGTTAGCTTTTTTTTTTTTTTTTTTTTTTTTTTTTTTTTAATTTAAAACCAAGGCAAATGACATGTTAAAATTTATATATGAGGATAAATATTTTGTCTGTCTTGAAAAGGCCAGCCATGTAGATTCTTTAATATAAGATTTATTTTCTACTAAACCACTGGAAATTTTTGCAAAGGTATTGGGTTAGCTGGAAAAACAAAAACAAAAAAACTTCCCATAGCAACCTGTTGAATGGTTCCTAATTCCAAAACAAAACAAACAAAAAACCATTTGCAAATGAATGACCAGAGTTCTGAAGTTTGATTAATGTTGAATTGCCTTAAATCACAGCAGAACATTAGAGAGTATGCTGTGTATTATATTTCAAAAAGCACATTCATGACTTTCCCACCATGTTGCTTTCACATTAAATAAGAGATGAGAACATAAACCCATCTACCTATTTGTTATTTAAGTTAACATGCTTCTTTCATGTGCTAGCAAATGGAAAGCATTCAGATATATTCTGTTGAATACAGTGCTGGGAGACTGCAAATGTGATCTGGTTTGGCAATGGTATTGCTGCTCCTCGTTACTGTGACAACAGAGCTGCAGCACTCTCTGAATGGTAGTAAATCTCCTAATTGCAATTATTTAGAAATTTGATACCCCGTTGGGTTCTTTGATATTTTTATCAAGTATCCAGGTGAATGTTTTCTCTGTGTGTGTCTTTTCCCAATTGAATGTCACAGTAGTAAGATGTCACCGTGCAACTATATGAGACCTTTCATCCCACTGAGTTGCAAATGAAATCTTCAAGCTGTAATGTCAACCACTGAGGTTCAGCATGTGTAGGACAGTGTACTTCAAGGTTTATGAAGGGCAGTGCTGCAGTAATTTCACCGTAGGTGATAGAAGTACTAGGTAGTGAGGACCAGCTCACATCGAGATGTCAGTATATAAAGCATAATTAAGTGAACAGGAAATTGCTCAGATGACAAAAGCGCACTGGTTGGGAGAAGGGTACATGAGAGTTCTCACAGGCATGTAGCCTTAAATCCACTTTCAGCAGTAGAGATCCCCCATAACTTTAGAGTTACAAGGCACAACAGTTAGCTCGTCAGACTCTGTTTAAGTATTGAAATAGCTGCTTGTGATCCTTCTTGAAGGAGATAAGGCTAGTGATTAATCATCCTCTTTCTGATTTATGAAACATCTAAGATGTAAAGATAGAACTTCATAGATGTGGAAGTCACTCAGGAAGGGCAAAGTGTTACATGGTTTATATATGTTTCAGCCTTTTTCCTCCTAGTGTAGTGGTGCAAATCTCTTTGGCACAAAGCATAGTTTTTAAATTTAGTAGCACAGCTTACTGAGAAAATGTGAATATATTTTTTTTCTCTGCTTTTATTTGCTACTGTAATCATGCCCTTTGAATGCAGAAGTCATTTACGTCAAAATAGGCAACAGATTATTCCAATTATTGATGACTGTCTCTGGTTTCATGTATGGATAAGGAACCACTGGATTCAGCACTTCAACCTGGAGAAAGTGATTCTAGATGACCTGGTGAATCTATTTAAGCCAAAAGCAAAATGTCTGTCAACCTAAGTCAACAACCACTTTTCATCCAGTGGGTCAAACTTTTCATCTAAAGCTGGTAAGAGCAATGTCTGTTTCTTAAAATACTGCTTTCCTTGTTTTAAAATGGAAGGTACCAATGTGGCTTGTCTAGGTAGGAACTGCAAGACAGTACTGGGCATGGGGGCTTAAAAAAAATAAAGCACTTCAGTCTGCTCTGAAACCCAAAGCAGTATCCAGTTAAAAAGCACTGATATATTGTTGTAGTTTCAGTCAGATTCAGACAAAGTAAAGAGAAACAGCTCACAAATAATTTTCCTTAAGCCATGGGCACTCCTTTTAATTTAAAAACTCCATTATTTAACAAACATGGCTAAATTAACTACATGTAACATAAAATGTTCTCTAAGCCCACACATCCATTCCTCCCAGGCTGCATTACAGTAACAAAGAAGAAAATGTATAAACTCCTAGCTTCTGAGATGTTTTAACTTAAATGAACAAAATATTGTTTAGCACGGGTATTTCTCCAGATGTGCAGTGCATTAGGAAGAGTGGGTTACAGAAGGACCACTTTTAAACTCAGATTTCCATCTGCCTGGTAAAGTTCCCTGCTGTTCCACTTGCAGCAATCTGGAATATAAAATAAGTTGATCAAATGCAATTTCCACTGAAGTCAGTGGGAATTTTTGCTTGAACAAGAACTACAGGGTTTAGTACGTAGGGTTTCAGAGTTGTTATTTATTTTTGTGTGAAGTTTAATACCAAGTGTAATGACAAAAAAAAAAAAAAAAAAAAAAAAAAGCATGGGTGGGATAAATTGGATTAGAAGACTTTTAAGAAAGTTTCTGTGTTTGCCTAACAGATTTTCCTAGTTATTTTTATTTTTTTTTAACTTCTTTCCCCTCTTGTGACACCTGTGTTGTGATAATCAAAAACAATGTTGCGTGTTAACATTGGCTTGTTTAATTTTTTTTTTCTTCCCCTATTACTCACATTTCTTTTCCGGTTTTTATTATCCTGCCCCAACGGGGATTTTCTTTTAACTTTGTTAGAAAATAATTGTTAGTGTGCTTATATGAAAAGACCACTGACCTTTTACTGACTGGTGAGTCAGAGGATTAATAGCTCTTCAATGGATGTACTGAAAACAGTGGGAAGATTTCCCTTAACCTCTTTTCAGGTGAACAAATGTTGAAAACCCAACTCAGTATTTTTTCCTCCTTTACTATAATGAGTTACATAATTGTCCCATTTTTGTCAAGTTGGATGTTGTGTTTACTAGTCTATAGTTAAACAGATATCCCAATTATATAGTGATAATGTAATATGCTGTATTTTGGTTTTAAAATGCAGGCATTTTGTGCATTTTCATTACATAGCTTACATAAGTGAAGTTATTTTGAAATGGTTGGTTAAGATCAGTCTCTGAACTTGTATCTTCACCCATGTGAATAGTTTCATTGAAATGTATTAGAAAATCCAAAGCCAGTCATTCCAGCAGTCCTACTAGTGGGAGCATAACAAACACAAAAAGGGAGAGGATCTTGCAATTATAGGCACAAAATAGGTAAGCATATAAGTAAGCAATGGAGGAGCAAGGAGGTTATGGCTTTCCTCTGTAATCCAGCCAGAAAATGCCAAAGCCAACATTAGGACTTTGGAATTGCTTCCCACAGTGATGTTTGGGTTGAATCAGATTAGTGAAATTTTTCAGAAGAATTCCTAATTTTAGAAGTTCTGACCACCAGCAGCTTTCTCTGAACGGCATGGGAACTAAAAACTCCATCCCCAACATGTCACTTGTTTCAGGCACACAGTATGGGGACATCCAAAAGTGGAAGCCACTTGGGTAGGTCTTGGCCTTGACCTCTGTGTCTCTGAAACCATTCCGTATGACAAGGAAAGGTTACAAAAAGTGAGAGGAACAGGGAGATATCGTGGGAGAAAGATATTTGGCAGTGGCATTTGCTGCAGAAAAAAAATAAAATAGGAAAAAAAAATTAAAAAAGGACACAAATAGCAAGGAGCTGTCTGGGCTTGGTAGAATGGGGAGTACATTAATATAAATACCAGTTTTCAAATAGAATAAAGACACTTAGTCTGCTTTAACATCCGTTTTCCTGGTGTATTATGAAGCCTATAGACAGACCTTCTGCAGTAAAGCACCATACCTAGTGCCTAGAACTCGGTCTATAAAGCTTAATTTGCACATTATTTGATTTGATTTTTATCCCTTCTTAACGTTGTTTCCAGCAGCACAGGGCTTTCATTATTTACTGAAAGCCAGACACCGGACTTCTTGTGAGTCAGATTTACTGAGAACATGGGGGTAGACCAAGGAAGTGTATCCCTTGGCAACAGAAAGCAAGTTAGGGTTCTTCAAAACTTCTCTTTTCATGTTTTCTCTCATTGTTAATAGGTCTTTTACAGAGAAATTGGCTCATGCCTCATTTCGAGTGCTTTAGACCCAAATTTTAGTCAGGTTTAATGAGACAATTTTGTGAGCTTCATTTGACACCAGGCAGTTACTGGAAATCATGTACAGGGTTATACCAGTTGTGTCGAAGGTACATACCTCCTCAGGAAAAAGGTAGGGGGAGAGTTATATCGCTATTTTTGTAGGTATGAGCTAATCTACATAACATACAAACTGTAGACAGGATAGTCTGTAATTTAGCTTGCCTTCATATGCTTTGCATTAGTCAGGCTTTAGGCATTAAGAAACAGGTTGTCCTCTGAGATACATCAGTTAAATGATTTCAGCTAGAAAGTATGTTAACTTTACAGCAGTTTCTCTTACAGCAATGGGCAATATTGTCTTTTTGTTTCAGAGGCTGTTTTACATCACCTGCACAGCATCAAACACACAGCAACTATAAGCAAGCATGTCATGGGCTCACAGGTCTTATATCCTGAGATGCTGTGCGTATTTCTGTCTCGTCCTCCCCCTGGGCTCCCCGTGGTTGTCACCATCACCACCACCCCTTTCCACAGCCACCCTTGTACTTCTTGTTTGACTTCTGACAAAGGCACTGGATCCTGAGAGCAAAGGCCAGGGGGACCTGGTTTCCACTGGTGCCCATCTCCCAGAGGGTGGCCCAAGGCAAGTCAGTCTTCCCGGTATTCCCATGCATTTCCCATGCACAGCAGCAGTTAGCACCTGGTACTTGTCATCCAGCTGCCCAGCTTTTGATATTGTGTGGTTTACCACATTGGTGGTGGCTGATAAACCCCAAACCAGTACCCCTTATTCATATTTATCACACTCAGAACCCAGCCTCTTAGGTATGTGTAATGAATAACAACAACAAGGAAAAAAAAAAGCAGATAGTTAAAAGGTAATGACCACCTTCATTGTCCCTGGTGTATAATAAATCATATGGCAAAATCACTGAAGACTAAATTGGACAAGTAACACTGATAAGAAAGGAAGAAATTGAAGAGGAAAGAAATAAAATGGTTATTTGTGTACCTTTTCTTGTTAGTGGCATAATTCACTGCACTATTTAATTGTTTTCATTCTGAGTAAGCCTGTTATATTTTAAATGTTAAAAAGCAATCTCAGCAAGTGAAAGAAAAACAAGTCTCACTCTAACTATACTACTTAGTTAAACAGAGTGTGTTGCATATTCCAACTTCAGACCTTTCTTTAAGTGTCTTTTCTGGATTGTTGATTCAGGGAATACTTCATTTATTTTCTGGCAGTTTTCCTGAAAGGAAAGCCAAGGAACATCATCTGAATAAATAATTGTGGTTTATTTTGGCAATATCTTGTAACAGCTCAAGTGGTCAGGTATTTTGTTTTTTAACTGAAGCACCCCTATCATCTTGGATCTTTACCAACTGCTTTCTGCCACTTCATGTAACTTGGCTGTTTCACTCTGCTACCTGATCAGATTTTTGCAGTTCATGTGAGGACTTCTAGCTAATTTTTGCTGTTTCTAGTTTAAGATGTCTATCTTAAAAGCTGCAAGTTTAACACTATGAATAGTAATGTCTTTGTAGTTCACAGAGGGATACGGCTGATATACTCACAGGCGTCTTCATGGCAAGTTTATAAGAGATTTGTATGGAAGAACTTTTGAAAATAATAGGGAAAGCAAAAAATCCTTTGTATTCTAGTATTTTGGGATAAAAGGATCCCCCCAGAGCCTCAGATCTGGGTAAGTTTTAAGCCAAAACACTGATCTGTAAATTTATTTTGCCTAAACAGGGAAAAAAAATCCAGCAAAAATTGGCAATTTTTTCTTTTATTCTTTGTTTTCAAGACTCTCCTCTCCTCTCCTCTCCTCTCCTCTCCTCTCCTCTCCTCTCCTCTCCTCTCCTCTCCTCTCCTCTCCTCTCCTCTCCTCTCCTCTCCTCTCCTCTCCTCTCCTCTCCTCTCCTCTCCTCTCCTCTCCTCTCCTCTCCTCTCCTCTCCTCTCCTCTCCTCTCCTCTCCTCTCCTCTCCTCTCCTCTCCTCTCCTCTCCTCTCCTCTCCTCTCCTCTCCTCTCCTCTCCTCTCCTCTCCTCTCCTCTCCTCTCCTCTCCTCTCCTCTCCTCTCCTCTCCTCTCCTCTCCTCTCCTCTCCTCTCCTCTCCTCTCCTCTCCTCTCCTCTCCTCTCCTCTCCTCTCCTCTCCTCTCCTCTCCTCTCCTCTCCTCTCCTCTCCTCTCCTCTCCTCTCCTCTCCTCTCCTCTCCTCTCCTCTCCTCTCCTCTCCTCTCCTCTCTCTCCTCTCCTCTCCTCTCCTCTCCTCTCCTCTCCTCTCCTCTCCTCTCCTCTCCTCAAAACAAAACAAAACAAAACAAAACAAAACAAAACAAAACAAAACAAAACAAAACAAAACAAAGACATTTCAGATGCAACATCAGATTTTTATTGGAGGAAAATTTTCATTAGAACAATCAAGTAGCCTTCTTGGTTTACACTTGCTTAAAAGATTGTGTAAGTGGGTTTGTAAAGGTAACTATAACAGAAAATTAAGTAAGCAAGTGATTGCATACGAATAAATAAACCTAGGTTGAAAGTCTGTCCTGCTCTAGGCCAGTCCTGGAGACACTCTGGAAGAAGATGATTGTTCTGAGTTTGAGTTCTGG